GAGTGTACCCCATTTGGCATAAATACGTTAGGCATATGGACGTTAGGCATATGGACGTTAGGCATATGGACGTTAGGCATACGGATGTCAGGCATACGGACGTTAGGCATACGGACGTTAGGCATACGGACGTTAGGCATAATGGACGTTAGGCATAATGTACGATAGGCATAATGGACGTTAGGCATATTATACGTTAGGCATAATGGACGTTAGGTTAAATAAATAAATACATTAGGCATAAAATGCCATGCTGCTGTGCAACTCTAGAAACCTGTTTCGAGCATGGTAAACAATGCTTAAATTAGGCTAAGCGCTGAATAAAAGATGATTCAAGTTATACAAACATAGCTTATTTAATAAGCACAGTTTGGAATCCATTATTTATCATATCATAAGTGACGTAGCTGCATATTTACTTACATCCAAGATTAGTAGCGATAGCGGTTAAGTAATCTGGCAATGAAAACTCAGCATAGTTTTGAACTATATCTTGAAATCAATCGCATCTAGAAATAATTAAAAAACACACATTTGTTGTAATATATTCTTACACACATATTGAAATCATCAAAGAAGAAAATGTTTTCTTCAAAGAACGCTCATGAAATAAAGAATGGTTAATTCTGTGTTTTTCATTCAATAACAAAAAAAAAACAGCTAAGTTTTAATAAAAGGTGATGCCAAAGAACAGCTCAATAACAAAAAACTGCTGCCTCCAGGATTTCCTGCAATACTTTTCGATAAAACCAGGCATAACATTTGATAACGGCACAAAAGCATTTGTAAACAAACATTCTAAGGCCCTTTACACGCGAACCAAACTACGCCCACGCAAACCAATACCACTTTTGGAAAGGTGATAGTTGCCCCTATCCGATCCGATGTTGTTGGTTTGTGTGGGCGTACTTTGGTTCGCGTGTAAAGGGCCTTAGAAAGTTTGTTTACAAATGCTTTTGTGCCGTTATCAAATGTTATGCCTGAAACGATTCTGTTTTTGTTGTCATCAGAATGAAAACTAGGGAGCGATACTTCCATGAACAGTGACGAGTTGCCGAAACAAACAAGGAACTGTGGCAAACGTACCTTCTGCAACCCAATACTTTGCCTGTCCAAGACGTCGCAAGTTTTCATGTGTCCCAAAAATTAAGGCTCTTTCATTATTGTCACCGAAGTCAGCAATCAATAGACGGTCCCCATTATCATCCCTCTGAAATTCATCGGGTATATTATGCCGAACGTCCATTATGCCTAACGTCCTTTATGCCTAACGTCCATTATGCCTATCGTACATTATGCCTAACGTCCGTATGCCTAACGACCGTATGCCTAACGTCGTGTACACCATTGGAGGAACGTGCCGAATAAAATTGGGTCAAGTCCAATGCGCCGGATCTTTCCTAAAAGTACTCGATGTGAAATTCCGATGGCAGCTGTAAACCTCATCCCGAAGCAAAATAAACGGTAACCATAAAAGAGCCGTTGACTAACGGACAACTAATACTGCTAAGAAATCATCACACCAACCGGTGGAGCCAGTAAGACGATCCAAGAGAGATGTTAAAGTTCTAAATAGATTTAATGACTATGTTCCCTCCCTTTGGCTAGTTTTTGCACCTTGTTATTGGTGGGCGGGCTTAATTTCATGCTTTATAGTGGAGTGTTGGAGACGGTAGGTTTATGGTCGGCGTTGCTGGTCCATGCCGCGATAGAATGACGCCATGGGCAGGCGATGGGGATTACTAAGCTTCCTCTCTCTGATGAACCACTCTCCATGAGATAACCAAAGATCTAGTCTAGCAGTGAAAGTATCACACTTTTTACTCCTTTGTTTGAGAGCCGCGTTGTAGTACGCTTACGTACACACCAAATTTAAATCGCTGTAAATCTGCAAAATTTTGCTGATTTTAGACTTGATGAAAGATCAGCAAACGCTCCAGCAAAATAATGCTGCTGAGTTTTTCAGCAATTCCAACTTCTGTCAAAATGACAACCTTTTACTAAAAATCAGCAATATTTCTTTACTGATCTTTCAGCAATTCAAAATTCTGACATTTGGCTGCATTTTGCTGATTAAACTATTAAATTCAGTAAATTTAATTTGTTTTCACTACATGAGCTTCCAGTTTCTGTAAAAGATCGCTGATACAAATATACGAATAATAAAGATAAAATCGCCAGACTCTTTTCTAAGTATCATTTATTAAATATAACCAGAGTCCGAGCCAGTGTCCTTACCTGCATAATTTATTTATTTGTAGTTTTTTTTACCTCTTCCTCCTCCTGCGGTTTAACCGGTGGTATACTTGCCACTGTGATGCTAACAGTTTGACAGCTCTTTGACTGGGTGTTAGTTTATGTTAGCTGATTTTTTCGGTAAAAATATCGTTTGCTGTTTTTCAGTACACCATTGGATTGCTGATCATGATCCAGCAATTCGTTTTACTGATAATAAAAACTTAAATTTGGTGTGTATAGGCACTGGGAAAAATTGGCATAAAAAGAGCAAAATTCAATATCTCTGATCGGCGCTGACTTAACCTTTGCAAATATAATCATTCTTATGGGAAAAAGTCTCAGGAATCAAGTGGAAATAGTTTCGTCCTGTGCAGAATAGGGAGTTGGGGTTTTTGGAGCATTTTACTCATTTTGATTGAATTGATTATTTTAAAGCCACTTCCCTTGAGTTTTGTGGATGAACATTCTGGTGAATCTTGCCACAAAACTTATAAATATATATTCGTCCCCATCTTGCTCGTAAAACTTCTCCAGATTGGCCTGTCAGATTTGCTGATGTCTGCATAGGCTCGATCAGACCCCACGATTGAAACATTGGTTATGGCCCACAGCTCTAAACTAAGAAGAAGATCTTCTGAGGAAACATTAAGTCAAAAAATAAGAGAATATTTCATGGATCCTCAATGCGAACCTAGTAACAATGATGACAATTCTGATGAATATAACTATAGTGACAGCCACGATGAAGAATAAGTATTAGAGATGCTACTAATTATATGTTTGGTGTAGAAATCCCTAAACAAGTATTTTGATCTTATGATTTAAGAAAATTTACATGGAAAGAAATTGAGTTTCATATCAACTTCCAACTTCTCAACAGGGTTAGGATCTGTCACTGTAAAAAAAAGGATAAACTGTCACGTCTTAACCTTGAGTAAGCCATGAATATATGATTTCACGTTACACGCATCGTTAACCGAATCGATTTGATCGGCAGGGTTAATATTTTTAATTATTTTTCATCAAATCCAATATCTTTGTACTTTCTATTTACTGGTTCATAGAAATGATCGTTATCTAAAGTCTGCACAAGATTAGAAAAACATTTTTTGATGTTTTAAACATAATTGCAATGATATAATGAACGAGTATTCAATATTACATGCGTGAATTTGAATACTACTTGATTTATTAAATTAAAAGGGATAATCGGGAAAAATGGGTAATAAACTGATGTCAACACAAAATGAGACCATCACCATTACATTCCTCACACACTTTAACAGAGGGAAACTGCCCGAACGATCAAATTAACAAGCCTTAATTCGTATAAAAGTATATCATGAATTGTTTCTTCAATAAAAGGGGGAAATTGGGCAAAATGGGTAATTTACTGAAATTTTCTCAAGCTGAAACCATCACCATTCGATTCCTCAGTCATGTTTACAGTAATACAGTACCCGAGGGTATAGTATGACATGCACTACCGCTTATAACCGTGTTACACTACTGATTAACTTCATAAATAGGGAAGAATTAGGAGGCTCCATACATCAGCTTACCTTTCGATGCAATCTAAAACGTAATTTTTTGAGCCCCTAAGCTGTTTTCTTTCAAGAAGGACTATCATTGGACAGGTTTCTTATCACGGACTACTGTCTTTTACAAAAATATATCGAAAATAAGGTAAGAGGGGTAAAATTTTCTAAAATGCATAGTCTGCACAGACTGGTGATGTATGAAACCATTTTTAAGTGATTCTCCAAATGTGTTTCTACAAGAGTGCCAATATTTCAGAACGTATATTAACCACAATGAGGTATTTTTTAAGTCATTTGTACAAAAATTTGAGAAATGTGAGTAAAATGCTCCAAAAACCCCAACTTGCCCTATTCTGCACAGGACGAAACTGTTTCCACTGGATTTCTGAGACTTTTCCCATAAGAATGATTATATGTGCAAAGGTTAAATCAGCGCTGATAATGAATTTTGCTCCTTTTATGTCGATTTTTTCCCACTGTGCGTTGGGTGCGATACTGTTGGGTTTTTTCGCATATCACTCTTATTTTATTTATTTTTACGCAGATAGATTTCTTTGGGTTTGCAACGGAATTATACTATTGAAATATTTCAGAAAGTGCCCAACAGTGCTCCTTCTATTTGCGTTGGAAATCAAGCCACTGAATGTCTGGTACCTAATTGCATACTTAGGTACCATCTCATTCTTCATTGATACCTAGCCACTTGGTAAGAATATTTATTTCGGTAGTAAAAACTGATATTTAAAGAGCTACTCAAGCATATCTTCATCAGTCACTAACAGTAAGCAGTCTAAGTCGTTATCTGTGGAAAATAGTAATAGTTTGAATGACGGTGATTCAGTGCTGTTATACAAAGTTTCGTTTCTGTTAAGGTAAGCTTGTTATTCAATATAAATTTTATACGAACATAAGTTAAATGTGATTACCTCTCACCCCAGCAGGCCTGGGTTCAATCCCAGTCGGCGCCGCTGGGATGTTCTGAGGCATAACATCTCTGATCACGCCTTCCTTCGGATGGGAAGTAAAGCCGTTGGTCCCCGGTTCATGAGTTGATGGGTCGATAAGTAGGGTCCAGGTGTGGGAGCTGCCTTCCTGGCACGTCGGTAGCATTGGTGCTCAGCACGGAAAACAAGATCGACGGAAAAAACAAACCAAAGGAAAAAAAATAAGTTAAATGTATATAAAAAATAAGTTTATTTATATTTTTACGTTTTTTTTCAGCGTTCACCAGTACAAAGATATGGATAACCGATTAGTTATGACCCAATGTATTCAACCGATAAAAAATGATGATGCAAGGTGTATAAAAAAGGATCTGCGAATTCTTTCAGAAAATACCAAACAGAACTAAAACACGATTGGATATTCCGGAGATACAATGAATACCAATTTACGTATCTGCGGATCTTGCCGTCGAGAAATTGAAAGACGGGCTAGAAGAGGTGAAAAACTAATCATCGCTGAAAACTCGGAAACTGTTGTTGGAAGGGTTTTGCCTGAAGTACCCAGCCTGTCAACGAGACCATCAACAATATCAGTGGCCACAACTGCAACAACTGATGATGAATTTTCGCGATCTGTTAACATCGAAATATTCAAACGAGGAATTGCTGGGATTCAAGTTTCACCGATTGATGCAAAGAAGTCAAACAACGTTTATTATCCTGAACATGAAATTAAGGAAATAAACCAAGGAGTGAGGAAGCATCTTTTCCAACTAGGACCGCAGGAGGACCAAACAAGTGCAACACAGGATTTTAAAGAAATAATTCTTCAATTGAAAGAAACATTTGACAGACAAGATACCACAAGGAGTGAAAAACTACAGATTTTAACTGTGTTGCCCAAGTCATGGACAATACAAAAAATAATGGATTAATTTAACACCACAAGGTACTTCGCAACAGCAGCTAAAGAATTATTTGAAACTGATGGAGCACATTCAAGCAGTTCACAGAAGATCAGGCCATGGCTTAAATGATGCAACGAAGGAACTTGTTGTTCATTTTTTTTGAGGATGATGAAACAAGTCGGGTGATGCCTGGCCAGAGAGACTACGTGTCAGTGAAAAACGATGGAAAGCGGAAAGCAATACAGGTTATTGATGTCGACACTTAAAGAAACATACAAAAGATTTAAGGAAAAAATGAGGTAAAAATTGGAATTTCTTCATTCGCGAAACTTCGTCCTAAATACTGCAAACTTTTAACCAGTTCAGGATCGCAGGATCAGCATATTGTTATCTTAGATGTTGTGAGGATTGTCCAAACATTTCGTCAATTGAGGATTTTTTAACACAGCAATTAGAAGAAAAAATGATTGATTAACTGTCATCCGAACAGTGGGTAACTATTGAAAGATGTGGTATACAAACTATTGTTAAAGAGCCTGAAGATTTTGTTTCATATTTTTGTGAAAAATTACTCAAATTGATATCGCAAGATTTCATTAAAACAGAACAATCTAAATTCTTTAAAAAAACGAAAAACAATTTGCAAGTAGGGGAATTTTTAGTCATTTGTGATTTTTTTGAAAATTACTCCTTTGAACTGCAGGATGAAGTACAATCTCATCATTGGAATGTACAACAAGCTACTATCTATCCATTTGTTATATACTATAAAGAAAACCCGCAACATTTTAGTTTCATAATTATCTCAGAAGAGTTGACACACGATGCAGTAACAGTACCTGTTTATTTCCAAAATGATTACTTTTTTACGTACAGATCAGAGAAAAATAGTGAAGAAGATTTATTTTATGTCTGACGGAGCTGCTTCACAGTACAAAAACCGTAAGAATTTTTCTAGTCTCTGCAAGTTCAAGTATATGTATGAAATTGAAGCTGAATGGCATTTCTTTGCGACATCCCATGGCAAAAGACCGTGTGATGGTATTGGAGGTACGATAAAGCGCATGGCTACACGAGCTAGTTTAGCCAGAGAACGTGAACATCCAATTAAAAATGCCAAAGAATTATATAACTGGGCAAATAATCGAAAGGAGGAAGAGTTGATCATTTGAAGAATATAAAACTATGGCGGCAGAGTTTAATGAACAATATTGTGAAAAAAATTTCACTCATTTATTCCTATATCTGAAAATAAAATTAAAGCAAAATTGTTCTTAAACTGTTCAGATCATGATGCAAAGGTTTTTAATTTGTTTAAATAGACGTATTAAGTATTAGTGTTATATGATGTGAACTAAATAAATACCTAAGAACACCATTTTATTTAATACATTTTTATTTATGAAATGAATGCCATAATTTGCGAATGGAATTACTAATCTCGGATACTCGATTTGACGCAACTGGGAACTCACCCATGCACACTAACACCACTATTAAGTTAGGGAAAGTTTCCCCTATCTGATAGTGGTGTTAGTATGCGTGGATGAGCTCCCAGTTACGTCAAATGGACGATCGAACGCATTCTTTACAAAAGCAGATAAGTCTTTTGAAAAAGTAACCCAGGTGGGGTTTGAAGCGCCCAACTGAGGTTGGAACTGTGCTCGTCCGCACCTAGCAAACCTCGAATAATAACTCATCAGAACAGCTGCCCCGATTCTTTATTCTTCGAAACCTTTTATACATGAATTTGTTACTAAAGCTCTACACAATAGTTTTTCTCCAGTACACTGAAGTCTTTTTTTACACGGTTTTTTTTTAAGGCGGTTTTTTTTACACGGTTTTCCACGATTTACAAGGTACGTTTTTAACGATTTCTCGACAACGATGCAACCTATCGACTTGCTTCCAATCACATTATCCGTTTCAAGCTATAGGTAATCGAATGGCATACTTAAAAAAAAAAAAATCACAATTTTTGTTGTAAATACAGAAATTTTTAAAATATGTCTATATGGACCATATCATGCTTTAATTACAAATGGCATCAGGTTTTTTTTTACACGGTACGTATCCCCCGTGTAAAAAAAGACCTGAGTGTATGCACATATAAAGCGGGACAGATAGTTTTTCTCTTGGAAAGTCGGTGTCTGCTTTTTTACAAGAATTGATGCTCCCCGTGGTAGGAACGGCTATGTAAGATGCTTAATGTTTAATGTTTACTTAGACCTTTCGCGAAGCACCGAGTTAAGCCACCGCGTATCGCAGACGACGCGGTAGCAACTGTTTATAAACAACTGACCCTGAAATGTGCGACATTGTCACTGTTGCTGCTGTTAAGTTGTGTATTTTCTCCTACTGTATGGGGGTCTATTACTGGTTAATTTCTTACTCAGATTGATATTGGAACTTGAGGCCTTTGCATCCCCTCTTACTTAACCAGCTTGAGAATAATATCGAAGAGATTCTTCCCAAGGATATGCGCTGGTAACTATTCTATATTTGCTAAATTTTTTACTGGATCTTCTATTATGGTTCTTACTCCTACTGTGCTTTTCTTAAGACCTCTCTTTGTACTATTAATAAACTTATTCAGTCGTTCATACTTTAACTTAATTTTGTCATTTAGCTAAATCATCTGCGTTAACAAGTTTTATCATGTTAGCCTCTAATGGACACTTTTTGCAAAGTTTGTTTGATTCGAAAAAAAAAACCCGTTTTGCTGATATGAAAATTTGTCTAACTGACTTACGTTAATTATGCGTTTAGTTGAGTTCTTCCATTCTTGTTGCAATTGATATTTAATGTTAACATTGTATAGAACCATTACGAATAATTCACTATAAGGATTGATGTTAGAATTTGGGGTTGTTGCATCCCCCCTTACTTACTGAGCTTGAGAATCATTTTGCAAAAATTATTATCAATAAGCTTGAGTTGGTAATCTTCGATTTGAAAATTTCGTGCTTTCATGTTGCCATATTTCTCCTAACCTTAGGGTGATCCTCAATTGTACCTTTCGTAAAAGCTCCTTCGTTTCTGCTCGTTCATCCATGCGATTGAAAACTGTTCCTGACTCGTCATTTGGTTGATATCAAATATCAGGTGTGGGTGTATCTGCCATTCCCCGCCACCTATGATTTGTTGTTTGCCGCATTCAGGTCACCCTTCATCGTCTTTCATATCTATGTCTTGTACTGATCGCATCTCGTCATTATGTATGTTTCTGTTGGAAACTTTTTAGTGCTATTTAGAACTTCAATTTTCTCTATGGTGTAGTATGATTCCACATCTTCGATGATTTTCGTTATAAAATGTAAACTTGTTTTGGATTGGATTGGATTGGAAACTATAATTTTGGTATATCAACTTTTTCTTAACTTTGTTTACATACTTTGATATCATTGACATGATCTGATTAATAATATTCTTCGTTAGTTGCTTGCTGCTCTTCTTTTTTTCAATTTCATATTTTCATCTACACAATAAATAATCAGTATACTATTTATTTGCAGCAAACAAATTCACAATTAATTACTTTAACTGAACATTCTTATCTGATTGTCTTCTTGTTTTACTCTTAACTTTGTTCCTTTGTGTCATATTTCTTATTCTGATATCTTTCATCTTGTTTTGCTAGTATTTTTATTTTATTACCCTACTTTTTTTTATCACTCTTACTTCGTTTAACTCTTTTTGTTTGTAGTTATAACTCACCAATTAATCAAAGCATCTGGATGGCTACGTCATGAAATTGCAGCAAGTACTGTCTTTCTCCTAATGAGGTTTAAAATGGCACGTATCTGTAATTCGATTCATCTATGCTCGGTTCCAGGTTCATCTGGCCATACGTTTAACTTTTTATTTAGTCAATTCAATTAATGTCTTGTAAGTGGCCAAATTGCTGCAAGTGCTCGTCTTCGCTAATTGAGTGGAAACGGTGGGTATCTGTAAGTAAACTCAAATTTCAGTTAGACTCATTCATAAACTCTCGTGCATTCTGGATTCCGAATGTCATTGTCCAATTGTTCAGCTCCACATCTGTAACGGTCTGTAAAAAATAAAACAGCCTTTAATAAATTGTCAACCGTAACATCATTTACGACTCTGGGATCATTTACAGTATATTAATGCTGTGTTTTGACGGTATTTTCCGTTCAAAATTGTTTTGTATTCAATTTCGCTGTGAGATTCTAGTACACAGTTAGTCCAAAGCGCTTTGTAGGTACAATATTCTTGTCCACTTTGATCTTTTTTTTCATCATTGTCATTAGTATTATTTTTCAGCGTGTTAATTTTTTTTTATGAAATTATTCTATAAATCTGTTTGTAACTGGTTTTCAGTAATTTAAACCATATTGTGTGCTGTAATGTCAACCGATCCATTCAAAATAGTACTGCAAAATATTTTGCTCTTTTTTGATGAATACATTTGTTTTATTAGCTGAATTATTCAATTACTGCATGCATTACATATAGGTTAAATTTTTTTTGTATCTCTTTGAAATGTTTTCATCACTAATTATATTAGAAAATACTTTTTACTATTATTAGCTATTTATGTTTTTACCTTTGTTTTCATTTTCTTGAAACTTTATCTGAAGCTTCGCTTTTATGTTCCCATCTCCATATATGTATGTTTTGAACATTTTGTTCAATCTCTTATTAATCCCAATTGAAATTTAATGTATACTTTTTCTTTACAATTTTCAATTGTCTCTTATCATTCTGGTAATTCCATATATTCATTTTCAAATAACAATACTTAATTTTATATATACCCCGGAGTCATTATTCTTATTATTTATTTATATTACTGTTAAGTTCGATAGCTTGGTACAGGGAAATTAGTCACTAAATCACAACACACGTCACACGACACCTTTTTTACAGAGCGAACTGAACTCATTCACTCCTTTGAATGGACTGTACTCTTCCCATTTTCTCCTACTCTCTGCTGCCTGCCCAAACGTAGCAGGTTCATTCACGTTTGCGCTTTGTGCTTTCACGAATCCATAAAAAAGCTCTTGTCTATAGTGTCCTGCACCGCGCTGAAATACACATTCTGTGCGCCATCAAAGCAACCAGTTTTTTCTCGTTTATTCTGACATTGTCATTTTTCTTCCGTTCATTCTCCCCGCGTTGAGATCTCTAGCTCAACAGATGGAAGAAAGGCAATCTTGGTTATTGCTCTCTTGTACTCGCCAGCCGTAGTCTTGACCGTCACTACACGGACCATGTCGTCGTTGCCAGGATGTAATGCGATTATCCGCCCACGTCTCCATTGCTGAGGAGGCAGATTTTCGTCAAGAAGCAGAACCAAGGCTCCAGCATCGATTTTCTTCACGCTGCTATTCCACTTTTGCCGACCTTGCAAGTGATGCAAATATTCTCTGGACCATCGTGACCAGAAATGTTGTTGCATGAATTGAATGTGCTCAATCGTCCAATCTTTTCTTCATTGTAGGAAGGTTCTGGTACTGCCAATCCCGATCGCCCAATCAAGAAATGGAAAGGAGTCAGAACCGACAAATCGTTAGGATCATCTGACATTGGAAATAATGGTCGAGAATTTAAGACCGCTTCAGTTTGCGCCAAGAATGTGGTCAACTCCTCAAAAGTGAGCTTGGTTCCGCCGACGACTCGCTTCAAATGATGCTTGGAGGATTTTACTCCAGCTTCCCAAATGCCACCGAAATGAGGACTTCTTGGAGGAATAAAATGCCAGCAAATGCCCTTCACTGCACAGAACTCTTCCACTTTCCGCTGATGTTGTTGGTCATTGAACAAGTCCCTGAGTGCAGCAAGCTCATGATTGGCACCCACAAATGCAGTTCCGTTGTCTGAATGAATATCACTTGGCAAACGACGCTTGCTCACAAATCGGTGCAGTGCAGCAATGAAGTTGTCCGTCGTGAGATTGGAGACCACTTCAAAGTGAATGGCCTTTACTACCATGCATACAAAAACAACCACATATGCTTTGTAAACCTTTGGACTTCTTCCTCCTAGCTTCAGTAGAAACGGGCCAGCATAATCAATTCCAACCTTTGAAAATACTGGCGCTTGATTTACACGGGACGCTGGAATGTCACCCATGAACTGACTACCTGCTATCGGATAGCACCTTGCACAAATTTGGCATTTCGAAATTACTTTCTTGATGATAAGTTTCGCTTTCACTGGCCAGTACCGCTCTCGCACAATAGCCAGCAGGCCACCTTGACCGACGTGATGATGCTCCTCATGCAATTTCCGAATCAAAATCTCTGTGACGTAATGTTTCTCTGGAAGTAGCATCTGATGCTTTCCATCGTATGGAATAGCAGAGTACTTCAGACGACCTCCAACACGAATAAGGTGATCTTCTCCTACGAATGGAGCAAAACTCGACAGATTGTGGCGCTTGCTTGACCTTGACCGTAGCAACTTCAGAAGATCACTAAACGTTTCTTGCTGAATTAGCCTGACAATAACCTTTTCGGCCTTCACCATTTCTTCTGCCGTAACACTCTTGGTGACACTAATCACATCTTTTTCTTTCTTCAGGTCAATAAACCTCATCACGTAGGCCCAAGCCCTTTGAAGCTTCCTGTAATCACTCACTCTGTTGAATTGCATTGGCGGTTCACTTCTAACAGCCGCCAACACCCTGCTGGCCTGATGTCAGGCAGCGGCAGGACTGATTCCTCCAATTCTTCTGGCTCATCTGTTTTAAACGCCTGCTTCCACAGCATCGATGGGCCATTCCACCGCGATTTTTTGTTCACCAGGTCGATTGGCAATTCACCTCTCGAGATGGCATCTGCAGGATTTTCTTCCGACCTGATATAATTCCAAGTGTAACCTGGAGTTAGTTCCAGCACCGCTGTCACCCGGTTGGCGACGAACTGATTCAAAGCCAGAGGTGACTTCTTCACCAACACAAAACAATTTGTGAATCTCACCATAAGATGACCTCATCAAACTTGATAGTCATCGATGATATTACCTTTCGAACCAACTCAGCTAACAATTTAGCACCGCACAACTCTAAACGGGAAATGGTCACCGGTTTCAGTGGGGCCACCCTTGATTTGCTAGCGACCAGATTAACTTCGATTGTGCCTTCTGCTGTTATGCTTCAGATGTAAACCACAGCTCCATATACCCGCATGGAGGCATCAGAAAATCCATGTAATTCAATCCATGTCGCATTACTGAGAACTACACAACGTTGCTTTTGTTTTTGATTGATTGCCGGTAGTTCTTCTCGAAAATGCTGCCATTGATGCAACAATTCGTCGGGAAGCTGCTCATCCCAGTCTAGCCCAAGACGCCATAAATCTTGCATGATAATTTTCGCACAGGTGATGACTGGTCCCAGGAATCCCAATGGATCGAAAAGCCGACCGATATCCGACAACACCTCACGCTTCGTAGAAGAAATCTTCTCATCAATCAACGGCTCGACGTGGAAAATGAAATAATCTTCCGAAGGATTCCAGATCAATCCAAGTGTCTTTTTTTTTTTTTAATGTGTTTATTTTTCCAGGCTCATTTGCCGTAGCTTTGCGGAGCCGATATTCATTGTTTAGGTTACAAAATTTCTTAAGACTAACGTTAGTAAAGCGGGGGCCGATTACTCGCGGCTATCTCGAGGTTAGGGGTAACAAATTGTAACAAATGGATGGCAGGGTAGGGATTGAGAACACAAGGTTTGGAGAGCAATGTGCTCTTGATCTCGAACTAAGCGACCAACTGATGAAAAAGACAAACATGGGGGTACACCGATGGGCAGCTAACAACTTGGGGGAACACAAGATGACACTAACTACTAAATCCTCAGATCTATCCGTTTTAAAAACACATATATTAAATTGCAATAGTCGAGATCTCGGCTCGCCAAGATGTCATGGGTTGTTTTCCTCGGGCCCTGAGGGATGCGGATAACTCGGATCTAGCAACACAATGGAGGGTACATGACCAAAGTACGTGGTCGATATCGTGATAGCCACTACCACAAGCGCACAAATTGCTGCCTGCGAGCCCGATTCGGAAGAAATGCGAGTCTAACGAGTAGTGATTGGACATGAGCCTTGATATGACACGTATAAAGTCACGGCTCATGTCCAATCTTTTGAACCATGGCTTGTTCGATACCTGTGGGAGAATAGAATGTAACCATCTTCCCAGATCACTCTCATTCCATTTTTGTTGCCAGTTGGTGAGGACGTGCTGACGGGTAATTGAGAAAAATTCCGCAAAGGCGATTTGTCGATCAAAAATATCGCCTTCCATAGCGCCCACCTTAGCTAGCGAGTCCGCTTTCTCATTGCCCGGAATTGAGAAATGAGATGGGACCCAAACTAAGGTGATAGTATAGGAGCAGTTAGATAAAGTACTCAATTTAGCTCGGATTTCGGTCAGGAAATACGAGGAGTGCTTCATCGGCCTCATTGATCGAATAGCCTCCAACGAGCTAAGGCTATCAGTAAAAATAAAATAGTGATCAGATGGTAGTGAGGCAATTTGCTCTACTGCGTAAAATATGGCTGCTAGTTCCGCAACGTATACGGAACAGGGTTTTTGCAGTTGATATGAGGCGCTATGAAATTCGTTGAATACTCCAAATCCAGTGGAAGCGTTTATAGTTGACCCATCTGTGAAAAAACTCTTATTGTTACTAACATGGTGGTACTTGTTTGCAAAAATTAAAGGAACAACCATCGACCGATGGTGATCTGGTATTCCACGGATTTCTTGCAACATGGTCAGATCAAAATTTACAGAGGAACTATAAAAGTCTTGGAGGCAAACACGAGAGGAATTGAATGAAGAAGGGCCAATCTCCAGCGTCATGTACTCGTAATAGAGACTCATGAATCTTGTTTGAGGATTTCTGTCGAGCAGCTTCTCAAAATTTTCTATTACCAATGGGTTCATTACTTCACAACGGATAAGAAACCGGAAGGACAGTTCCGCAAAACGATCTGTCAGTGGGAGAACACCCGCAAGTACTTCGAGGCTCATCGTATGCGTCGAGTGCATACAGCCAAGCGCGATTCGGAGGCAACGGTATTGAACCCGTTGCAGCTTCAGGATATGTGTTTTCGCTGCGGATTGAAAACAGAAGCTACCGTACTCTAGAACCGACAAGATGGTTGTTCGATACAACCTGATCAGATCTTCCGGGTGTGCTCCCCGCCAAGTTCCAGTAATTGTACGAAGAAAATTGATTCTTTGTTGGCATTTTTGTTTCACATACGCAATATGTTTTCCCCACGTGCTTTTGGAATCGAACCAGACACCTAAATACTTGAAAGATATACTTTGAGTGATTGTTCTACCCTTTAGTTGAAGCTGTAACTGTGCAGGATGATGCTTCCTAGAAAAAACAACCAACTCAGTTTTCTCCGGAGAGAATTCGATACCCAGCTTCATAGCCCAAGTAGACAAATTGTCTAAGGTATCTTGCAATGGTCCTTGCAGGTCCGGTGCACTTGGCCCTATAACGGACACAACCCCGTCATCTGCAAGCTGCCTTAGCGAACAGTTTTCATCAAGACAACCATCAATGTCTTTTACATAAACATTATAAAGAAGGGGGCTTAAACATGAACCCTGGGGGAGACCCATGCAACTAATTCGTGAAGTTGTCGAGTTTCCATTAGAAAAGCTCATATATTTCTCAGACAACAAGTTGCTCAAATAGTTGTTCATAATTGGTGAAAGCCCACTATCGTGGAGTTTATCCGAAAGGACATCGATACAAACAGAATCAAAAGCCCCCTTAATGTCCAAGAAAACTGAACCCATTTGCTGTTTTTGCGCATAGGCCAGTTGAATTTCAGTTGAAAGCAACGCAAGGCAGTCGCTCGTTCCTTTGCCTCTCTGAAATCCAAATTACGTATCTGAAAGTAAACCATTCGACTCGACCCATTTGTCTAGACGAAAAAGAATCATTTTCTCCAACAATTTCCGTATACAGGACAGCATCGCGATGGGACGGTACGAGTTATAATCCGACGCGGGTTTACCGGGTTTTCGAATGGCGATAACTCTTACTTGTCTCCAGTCATCCGGAACAATGTTGTGCTCCAGAAATTGATTGAATAAGTTCAACAAGCGTCTCTTCGCGACATCTGGGAGATTTTTAAGCAAGTTGAACTTGATTCTATCCATTCCTGGAGCTGAATTGTTACATGAAAGGAGAGCAAGTGAGAATTCCACCATCGAAAACGGGGAATCTATTTCGTTATTACCCGACGGACGATCACGAACGTTGGTTTGAACCGACACCGAATCCGGGCAAACTTTCCGCGCGAAGCTGAAAATCCATCTGTCCGAGTACTCCTTGTCTTCGTTAATCGGTGTAGACGCGTTTCGCATTCTCCTGCCGACAGTCCAGAGTGTTCTCATGGAAGTCTCTCGCGACAAACCATCGACGAACCGACGCCAGTAACCGCGTTTTTTTGCTTTAATTAAGTCCTTAAAAGTTTTCTCGAGGTCGGTGTACCGCTCGAAATCCCCGACCTTGCCGTGTTTGCAGAAGCGTTTAAACGCGGCGGACTTCTCGCTGTTCGCGTCGGTGCAATCCTTATCCCACCACGGGGTGGGAGGTCGCTTGCGGACGGAAACACCCGGAACACGTTTCGTCTGTGCTTGCAGCGCAGAATCGATGATGACACGCGCGAGAAAGGAGTACTCGTCCAGCGGAGGAAGTACGTCAACCGATTGACTGGCATCAATAACCGCGGTCGCGAATTTTCGCCAGTCAATGTTTTTCGTAAGATCGTACGCGATGTCGACCGAGCGAGTAGAAGATGAACCATTGGTAATAGAAATTTTGATTGGCAAATGGTCACTACCGTAGGGATCTTCAATTACTTTCTACGAGCAATCCAACGATAGTGAACTCGAGCAAAGTGAGAGGTCTAATCTGCTTATTTTTGCTGGAGGTTTGGCTACTCGTGTTGCTTCCTCGGTGTTTAGAATTGTCATTTTGAAGAAGTCGCACATGTCGTATATCAAGGTTGAGCGGTTGTCGTCGTACAGTTCCCCCCAGCCTATACCGTGAGAGTTAAAATCTCCCAAGATCAACCGTGGCTCTGGCATAGCCGTGCAGATATCCGAGAAACTTTGACGAGAAATCGCAGTTCGCGGTGGAAGATATACTGAGGCAATACTGAGGCATTTACCTCGAATATTAACCTGACATGCAACAACTTCAATGCCTGTCACCGAAGGCAGATCGATTCTGTAGAAGGAATGGAGCTTGTTGATCCCCAGAAGCACCCCTCCATACGAATCTGCCCGATCAAGGCGAATAATGTTGAAATCGTGGAAAGCAAGATCGTTGTCTGAAGAGAGCCATGTTTCACAAAGGGCAAATGCATCAGAAAGTAAACTAAAAATTTAAATGTGTCAAGTTTTGGCATAAGACTTCTACAGTTCCACTGAAGAACAGAGATCATATCCCCGACCTCATTCGGAGAATTATCCATCAAAGGATATGATCGATGCAAGGAAGGACCACCTAGAAGCTAGTTGCTTCAAAAGAGTTTTCACCATTGGCAGCACTAAATTAATAATGCTCCTCGTTGAGTCAGAGACATTGAATATACTGAAGAAGCTATCCACAATACCAGAAAACGTAAACGTGAACATGGGGGCATGTTCTTGCTGATTATTCAGCTGCTTTTCTCGTCGAAAAACTGGGACATCTGGGGTTTTAGATGATCCTGGAAGTGACGGAAAGTTCTTGTCATAATTACAAGGTTGAAAACCCGGTGGAATGGGCTTCGGTGCATTTCCATTACCTCTTGATTTTTCCAAGGTGGAAGGGTGGTCCGTACGAGTGGCCTTACGAGGCTTTTCGGTGTTGTGTTGTTTTGCTCGTTTTCTCGTATTGCCTTTAAAGACAAACGGACTACCCTCACCGACCTCTGAGTCAGAGTCTAGATCATCAACTGGCAAAATGGAGAACGTGTTACTGCTTTTTGGTGTGGTCTGAGAAGATGAAGCGGTATTCTTCAAGAGTTCTGCTAGTGTTCTCTTGGAGCGAGCTTGCAGAGACCGCTTAAGTTTTTCTCCCTGCTGTTTATACCTCGGGCAGTCAGTCAGGGTATGTAGGCTTTACTTGCAGTACACGCATTTTGGAGGAGCACCGCAAGGGCCCTCTTGATGTTGCTCGCCACACTGATCGCAGCGTGGTTTGTTCGAGCAGTAATCCGATGTATGACCAAGTTGTTTACATTTCGAGCAGTTCATTACCCGAGGTACAAACAGACGTACAGGCAGCCGAACCTTGCCAATAGCGACGTAGTGAGGTAACGCTGAACCCGAAAAGGTCACACGAAACGAGCTTGACAAGGAATAAGTTTTTTTGGAGCCTACTACGGATACTGACTGCATTTGAAGGCAGTCCAATATCTTCACCTTCGGCAGAGCACGGTTTTTAAAGATTCCGAAGGAATCGGGACCCAAGAAATCATCACTAGTCAAACTCGCTTCGGTGACCACTCCTTCAATTTCTACCTCACTACTGGGTATGTAGACTCGGTATTCCAATGAAAAAAGCTCGCACGCAACAATTTGGTTAGCCTGCTTCCGGTCATCAACGGTAACGCGCAGTTTTATTGGTGTTACCTTGAAAATATCGGTAACGGCCGAAAAATGTGTTGTTAGATCCTTAGAGATCCTCGGAATGTTCAAAGGTTTTTGTTTGGGCCGGAAAAAAACAACCCATGGGCCTTTCGAGGCTTCTGGGTAAGCCTTTAGGCGGGGGAGCGCAGAGATTTTTGGGGGCAATGGTGTGGGGGGTGCAGGACGAGGAGGTGATGGTGGGAGAGAGGGTTGTGGGGGATACCTTTTCTTGGGATATGCTCCAGTATTTTTGCTGGAGAGCGAGTCAACTGGGACGTCAAGGGTTTCCATTTCCACAACTTCCTCGAGACTTTCGTGTGAGGAATTAAGAGTTTCGTCGTCTGAGATGGAAAGTGACCATCCCCCGCCTTTATCATTTTCATCCATTGCGGTTAAATATCGCCACAATGGTGTTTTTAATAAATATTCTACAAATAATTACAGTAATTTCAAATAGTACCAAAAAAATGCGAAAAAAAAATAAAATAAAAAATTAAAAAAAAAATACAAAAAAATTATATAGTTTTACTCTAATAAAGAGTAAAACGAAAGAAGGAAAAAAAAACAAAAAAGGAAAAAAAAATATATATATACTAAAAAAAAATGTTTTTGGATCACCCTAACTATGCTCTACTTATAAATAGTACGAGAAAAAAAAAACCAAGAAAAAAAAATTATAGATATATACTATTTACAAAATTTTGAATCACCCTAATTATGACCCAACCTAATCTAATATTGGACCATGCGGGGAGATGCGATACTGGTGAAAACAAAGCGACACGGTATACCTATTACACTGAGGCGGCAGATGACTGGTGCGAGGTTATTGTTTGCCCCAACGGCTGTTGGGTCGATAACCTGATAGCTGGTATGCCTCGGTCGCCTCGGTAGGCAATTTAACGTGCTTTCGTTGTTGCTATCAATGGGATGATGTGATGATGCGATGATGGTGATTAAAGCTGGACCGTAAGCAAAGCGCTCGGCGTATGGTTAACGGCTTCCTCACTCGTGCACTAGTTGTATTAGCACTATGCCAACTAACTTTGGCGAGAAAAAACCCTCGCGTGGGGAAAAACTCAAAAACTCAAATACTAGTGTCGTACAACGAGACCGATGCGACTTGACCGGCTCAGCGTGCGAGACGGAATGAATCCAAGTGTCTTGATTGTATTATTAATCCCAGATTCTTCGAAACTGACTTGCTTTTCTTGCAGATCCCTCTGGAATTGCAGCTAGGACCTCTGCACTATTCGAACAGAATTTGTGAACGCCAAACCCTCCTCGAGCCAATAATGCTGATAGTTCTTTGTATGTATCGATCACCGTTTCGACCAATTGTTCACCGGTTAGAAAATCGTCCACATAACTGTCCTTTTCGATAACTTGCGCGGCCAGTGGAAACTGTGTACCTTCGTCTGCAACCAGTTGAATCAATGCCTTTGTCGCATGATACGGTGAACTTGCCACACCGTACGTTACAGTTTGAAGCTCGAACACCTTCCATTCACCGTTTTCATCACACCACACAATCTTATGGTACTTGCAATCATCTGGATCCATACCGACTTAACGGTACATTTTTGGAACATCGGCTGTCAGTACCACTTGATGGCCACAGAAGCGCAGAATTATCTCCACCAGATCACTTTGTACAGTAGGCCCAACCATTACAGCATCATTCAACGAGACTCCAGAAGTTGTTTTTGCCGATGCGTCGAAAACTACCCTGGTTTTCGTTGTGGAACTAGAGGTCTTGTACACAGCGTGATGCGGAATGAAGTATCTGCCTTCATCTACGACCTCCACTTGCTTCATATGACCGAGAGCTATGTACTCTGTCATGAACTCAAAATACTGCATACGTTTCTCAGGATTCCTTAACAAGGAAATCATCAGTCGATCATAACGCTTCTTCGCCATAACAAATGAACCACCAAGTTGATCCTTTAGCTCGTTGAACGGAAGTCGCACTACATAGCGGCCTTGATCATCCCTAGTATGAGTGTCCTTGAAATGCTCCTCAACAGCAGCTTCTGCCACCGACAAAGTTGAACCCAGACGAACGTCCTCGATTTCCCAAAACTTCACCATAGTTTCATTCAGGATCTCTTCTTGTTTACCGAACTGACACAAATGTGCACGTGGTGCACCTCTCCTAGTTTGCACTGAACCTCCGACGACCCAGCCGAATTCAGTTTCAGCTAAGGTTACAGCACTGTTCTCTATCTTCAAGCGTCCCTTCTTCACCAAGTCGAAAAATAATTTGTTGCCAATAATCATATCAATTTCTCCTGGAGCGTAGAACAACGGATCCGCTAACTGCACGCCATACGGTAGTTTCCAGCATTTAGTATCGATCTCCACGACGGGTACGTTCTATGTTATCCTTGGTGTACGGCCAAGAATTCTAATTCACTCGTCGTGAACGAACTGATTCGTGACAGAATTTTCGTCGAAACTAAGTACTATACTCGAGTCTGAATGTCGTTGAGACCAGTGATACGAAGATCGATGCTATCCATCTCCAACATCAACTTACTTGCCAACCTCTCTGTGAGTATGTGACTGTCGGATCCTGAATCTAACAGCGCACGACACTTTACGTTGGAACCTCCTGTTCCTACCACGAAAATCTCTGCGGTTGACAACAGTACCTGTCGCTTTGTTGTGCCAATCTGTGCACACAATGTAGTTGCACTTGAGCATTCTACGGCTTGCTGATCCTGCGTTTGCTCTTGCGTCTTCATGCCTGGTGACGGGGACTTATCTTCTTCACTCGTCTTCTCTGTTGTATCTCTAGGATGCCACAGACTATGATGCTTCCGACCGCAACCTTGGACCTTGCACCATTGGTCGGACGGACAGTCGATTACACGATGTTTTTGTTTCAAGCAATTGTAGCATAAACCCACCTTCGCAGCAAATGATTTGCGTTCCGGGAACTCCATACTTTGGAACTTCGAGCACTTATAAATAACGTGCTCTGCATCACAGCACGGACACGCTTCTCTTGCCGTCTGGATGAACGACTTCGATGTCTGTACTTGAACCTTCTGGTTACTCATTGGACGTTGTTTGGTCTGTACCATTGCCTGTTGTTGCTGTGAGCGATTCGTACGCTGTAGAACGCGTCCTCGTTCACGAAGAAATTCAAGGAATTTCTCCCTTAGGCAGCTTCAGCTCCCGTTGCTCCTGCGTATCGTTGTCGAGTTTCTTATAGAGAACGTTAGACACAATCAATTCCCCCAAGCCTTCGACAGGATAGCCATGACCTTTCAAAGAATCGACGTGCTTCGTACACGTTTCAACCAGCTGAGAAATCGATTGCCCACGGTTTTCCTTGTTGATCTTTGCGCAATCCAGGATAGCGTCAACGTGAGTATCCAGTATCAGCCGTTTATCCTCGTATGCGTAATAATGCTCGTGAAAAGGCTCTTAAAGCTGTACCAATTCTCCGGTGTCCCGTCAAACGTTGGAAATGGAGCATGCAGTTGCGGTGCTGGCGCTTGCACAATAATCGGCTGTTGAAAACTAGAGACACTACTTGACGTACCTGGTCTTACATTACTTGCTTCTTGCGCTGCGGCGATCATAGCCTGCAAGTCAACGTAAAGTTCGTTGTGAATTTTTTCGAAGACCGCATACTCTTTGCGTTCAGCAGCTCGTTGATTTCTCGGCAGCAGCACGGAAATTTCGGCATGTATTTTGTCAAATTCGTTCGCAAACCGCCGCAGTGTTTCAAGGTGAAGATTGAGCAAATGAATGTTGACTTCTCCTTGCAACGATTCCTTCATCCTGATGAATTTATCTATGATCAGTTCACGCCGATCCATCAGCACCTCCAAGTTGGATTCCATTGCCTTCTTCTTCTCGAGCAGTTCTTTAGAAAGCTTCTGTTCCGCGATTGACGGAATTGTATTCTCTTGTTCACTACGTGAACCTGTTAGCGCTTCCAAACTGTTTCTTCTTGTTAATTGTTGCAACACTCTTCGTGGTGTTTCACAGTCACTCATGTCTACACTTCTCCGGAATCGTTCAACTAGTGATGTACCACGGGCACGTCTACTAGGGGAATTTACGTATTCTCGGCAACCTAAGCAGCGACCTTCTTTCTATAGTCTTTTTCTCTATGGAACGCACAAATGTGCAGTATTGGTTTGTTTACAATCTTTTGCTGCCAGCTGCTCTAACAATTTCAGTCGAAAGAATTGTCAAAAACTGTTTTGAAACGCTTTTACAAAGCTCCAATCTTCTCTAGTGAGAGCGAGTATTGTCGGCAACCAGTTTTTCTTCGGCAACAGTTCCATTTGAACTGCATGTTAATCTGCTGTTCTATTATCGGCAGCTCGAAATCAGCTACAATTTGTAGTGCGTGTGTTTCATTTCAAGAAAACCCTGTTAGATTGCTTTTTCTCAGTGGTAAAAATATAGTCAAATTGAAGCTGAAAGCATAAAGAATCGTTTACATGCATTCAGCGAAGTGTTTTCGTAAGAAAATCCAGTGAAAATAGTGTTTCAATTTGGGTTGCCGAAAATAGTCTGTCATGCCGAAGCCGTCATTTCCCCTACTTCACTTTGACTTTGAGTTACAATATATGCACACGGTGCATCACAAATTGTAACGTTCGTTTTATCGGTTTCCAGCCTCACTACGCACACGGTGCGTTTAATTGTCCAACATCCACATTTACAAGCATAATCACTACCAAATTTGCGTTCGATTTTCAGTCTCGGACTGCACTACGCACACGGTATGCTTGATTTTCCAATGATTATGCCACGGACATAATCATTTTCGATATTCTGGCCACGGGCCACACTACGCACATGGTGCGTTCTGTTTAAAATCGCAATCTTAGGCCACGGGCCTCACTAATTATACTTTTGCACACGGTGCAAACACTGCCAGAACCCGTACTATGCCACGGACATAACGTTTTCTGACCTTCGACCCCGGACCAAACTTTTGCACACGGCACACGACAGCAACTAAATTTCCGTAAGCACTACGTTTGGCGGACTAAAATGTCCGCTCATCCGGTTCGATTGGACCAAATGTTTAGTTCGATAGCTTGGTACAGGGAAATTAGTCACTAAATCACAACACACGATTTTGCCTTGAACAATTCTAGATAAACATTTCAAATGGTCCTATCTGCTTTGATCGATTCTCTTCATCGACTTTCTCTTTCGTCAATAACTCAACTGCAAAACCTTTCCCTGTTGTGTTTGACGTTTTGGACGCTAGATATGAACCTCCTTTATCAAACTATGTGGTAGAATTAGCGCGAAATCTGTTTGCATAGCAGTGGTTATGAAAAGAGAAAGTCGATGAAGAGAATCGATCAAAGCAGATAGGACCATTTGAAATGTTCATCGAGAATTCTTAGTTTTATTGACACCTTTTTTACAGAGCGAACTGAACTCATTCACTTCTTTGAATGGACTGTACTCTTCCCATTTTCTCCTACTCTCTGCTGCCTGCCCAAACGTAGCAGGTTCATTGACGTTTGCGCTTTGTGCTTTCACGAATCCATAAAAAGCTCTTGTCTATTGAGAAATCCAACTTAAACTCATGCGCACCTGGTGGCAGGAATAAGCACTAACCGAAGGTGATAAGTCTGTGACAGCCCTTGAAAATTTCATTGATTGTTTGCAAAATTATTTAATTTCAATGTAATTTCATGAAAATTTCTTGTCAGCATGGATGAATCTTGTACAAAATCCATAAAACTATTTTATAATGCATTGTTCTTAAATAAAAAGCTACTTCAAGACTTATAAATTACTGAAAACATGTTAAGGTTTGAAATCATCTGCCGATTAAACAACAGACAAAGTTGGCCGACTAAATCAATCGACGAAAAACTATTAAATAGGCCGATTGCTCGGTGTAGCACCAGACCAAAAACGATTTAATCTGCTGATTAATACACCGACTGAAATTAATTTTTAAGTGACAATAGATTTAGTCGGTGGACGATTCGGGTGATTTGGATGATGTTTGTTTATTTGGAAGATATTTTCGAAACAAAGCACGATAAAATTCAGCATTATGTACCATTATTACGAGTACTACTTTTTTGCTCCGATCATGTTTTGACTTCCACAGAAACTCGCTAGAATAAATAGAAAATAATAGTTTTTTGGTTGAAATTTCAAAAATGTATTCAGTTTGACACATTATTTCGAACTTATCACCGCTGCGATTGCAGCGTCACGGTGGTCGATTGAAACATGGATTTGTCAATAGTGTCCTGCGCCGCGCTGAAATACACATTCTGTGCGCAACCACTTTTTTTCTCGTTTATTCTGACGTTGTCATTTTTCTTCCGTTCAATTACTATTCAATTTAATCATCACAATATACATCATTCGTTCCGGGAACGTCTTCCCTTGTCTAACGCACTCTCTCACAAACATTCCATGTATCCCTCTTATACATTAGCTACAGTTTATCACTTCTTTTTTTTCACTTCACCAATATTTTTATTATTTGCTCGCAGTATTCTTTCCATTTTCATAGCCATCTCCCATGTTCCTCCAAATTTTAATTGTTATTTTAATATGTGTGTCTCTCTATTCTTAATTATAACATAAATATTATGTACATAATAAACGATAAATAAATACTTATTTTGATTATAAGAATCTTTATCTGTACTGACGAATTTGTTCCGCGTACTTGATGATTAATCATTGTATCGCTTTATACGATTGACGTGGATTTTTTCTAATTTCTTCCCATTCTGTATTACCACTGTTTGTTCACTAGGAATTTCCATTACTGTGTATGGGCCACGCCACATACTCTGTAATTTTTGTCCTACCCCCATAGGGTTTGATTGCACTAAAACTAAATCTCCCCACATTGGTTGCCATTGATTTGAATTTTTGTCATATTGAACCTTCCGCTTTTCTTTTAATATTTTCAAGTTTTCTCTCGCGTTATAATGAATGTTGCTCAAAATGCTCTTAATTTCACCAACGTAATCATGATACCCAACAAACAATTCAAAGTCACAAATAAGCATACACACTGAATAAATGTTGTATAACAGTGTACAATGCTGAATAAAACAGGATGTCGAATTATGTGCTGAAAAAAGGTCATTGAGATCGATAGATGCGTCTTTATTCCGCTGTTTGCTCTGATATGATTAATTTCCTTATTAAAAGCTTTATAAACGTTGACTGTCTTCCTTATTCAGAACCAGAAGCTTGATCTAATAACAAACTGAATAAGTGTAATTTGCACATACATTGAGACTTTAATTCGACTGTTTTCAATTGATTTAATAACATGCTTTATTATACGTCTAATAAATGTTCTCCAGCTCCTTTATAAGATTGCATTGCATTGCTTTACAATATTGCTGTATAAAGGTGAATACACTCAGCAAAATAGCTCTTATACCACCCAACAAACAATTCAAAGTCACAAATAAGCATATATATTGAATAAATGTTGTATAACAGTGTACAATGCTGAATAAAAAGAATTGTCGAATTATGTGCTTAAAAAAGGTCATTGAGATCGATAGATGCACATTTATTCCACTGTTTGCTCTGATCTGATTAACTTACTTATTAAAAGCTGTAAAAGTGTTAAATGTCTTCCCAATTCAACGCCAGAAGTTCGATCTAATAACAAACTGAATAAGTGTAATTTGTAACATACATTGACACTTTAATTCGACTGTTTTCAATTGATTTAATAACATGCTTTATTATACGTCTAATAAATGTTCTCCAGCTCCTTTATAAGATTGCATTGCATTACTTTACAATATTGTTGAATAAAGGTGAACACAGTCAGCATAATAGCTCTTATACCACTATGCGTCCATGTTGTAATCACATGATTTGTAAATGCTTTATAAACGACGTATTAGATTCATTATTCGACAACACTGATTCAGTCTTACAACAAGGCGAAATCAGTAGAGTATTGGTTACCGTTTCCGCTTTCCAATTAGAAGGTCATGAGTTCAATCCCAAGCTCAAACCTTTTTTTTACAATAATTAATTTAAATAGTAATCATCGATCACATGACTCACGATAATGAATGCATTGATCTAGTTTAAAATATACCCGAGCATCCTTTCTTTCGACTTGGAGATGTGAAGAGGCAACATTGTTCTCATTCAAAACAACGATGAATGAATTAATCATTCCCACAGGGCCTTCAAGGAGCTAGAGTTGCGATCGGGAGTGCTGATAGGTATTTACTTTCATGCAAGCTTTTATAGATTATTGAGTTGCCCATATGATGAATTCTAGGATAGCTCAGATGACAAGGCAAGCGGCTGGTGATCGGAAGGTACATGGTTCGAATCCCATACCATACAACGACGACATGTATAAGTATTTAATAAATTTTCTAATATCTGTGTGGTGCGAGCCACGTCAGAAATAATGAAATATAATACACTTAAGAAAAACACACCACACCCCCTTCCCTGTCCCCGTTCATCTTATTTTCGGGTTAATTTTCCCACAGTTGAATAATCGTTTAATAAATGTATAATAATGTCTAATTAAACGTTACTTCACATGAGAATCAAGCGTATACAGAGCATCACTGTTTTAAGGAGAAGCAGTGATGTCTAATAAACGCTGAATAATCATTAATTTTATCGTATAAACTCTGTTACAACTCAATATAAGTCGAATAAAAGCTTCTTGACATACCTTATTCAACACCAAATATTTCGATGTTGTGGTTGAATAAATTCTCCAGATTTGTGTGAACAAAGCCTGAACAGAAGTTATTATTAAAAATAGTACAAGTACTATTAAGCATGCAGTTGAATAAAATGGCCAAGAAGTCGTTTCTTCAATAGACGATTGTTTGTTGGGTAGTCCATTGTGGAATAACCTTTTTTATAAATGGATGTAGGAATTTTTGCCTTTCGTCCATTTAATAACTCAAATGGGGTGCAATTGTATTCAAAGTTGAAGTATGGTATCAATTGGTCCTATGTTCTTTGATTCCCTCCAATAAATTGTCGTAAATAGGTTTTCAACTCTCTGTGTGAACGTTCCACTAAATTAGCCTGTGGATGGTATGCACTTGTGTTGATTTTTTTAATTTTCAAAACTTTACATATGTTTTTCATGAGGTTACTCATGAAGTTCGCACCTTGGTCGGTCACTATTTCTTTTGGAGAGCCGAATTTACAGATCACATTTTCGACAAAAGTTCTTGCTACTGTTTGTGCTTCCTGATTTTCCATACATGCGACAATTAAATATCTGGTTAGATCATCCTGAACGACTAATCCGTATTTATTACCCCATTCCGATTCGGGTAAAACAACGATATCCATAAATAAACGGCGCTGTAGCTGTTGTAGTAATTTTCATTGGAAATTTTGTTGGACTTGCAAATTTTGTTTTTCTGACACGATTCGCATTTTCTTACATAATCTTCAATGTCTCGTCTCATATTTTTCCAAGTAAAAAGAGATCCAACTCTCTTTCGCATACGTTTTGATCCTACATGTCCACCTAAGGGTGCATCATGAAATTCTCGTAAAATTGTTTCGATTTCTTCACCCTCTATTTGAATACGTTCAGAGTCTGCATTGTACAAAGAAATTTTCTTATCTAATTTCAATGATATGAATTGTATCATTTGTAATACTGCAAACTGTTTTATTTTGCGAAATGATAATATATGGACATGTTTTGCTTGCTTTAGATAGTCAGGACCTACGTCTACGCTTACTTTAAAATCATTGTATAAATTGTGGTTATCATCTTTCTTTGTGGTGTTTTCATTGTCACTTATATCCATGTTTACTAAATCATTAAAAACTGAGTCCCTTTGAGCTTGGTCAGTGGAATCGCTTGATGGCTTGTTGTTTATTTTTGTTTGGGTTGTCTGCCCCTGCATTCTTTGCTGCTGTCGCGTAACGACTGCAACTATCTGCTCTTGTTCTACCGACGTATGTTGTTGTTGATTCTTAATGTTTACGCTACCTTTTTTAACCTTACAACGTTGTAACCTTGATTGCCCCTGACAATAACTTGTTGGTTGAATCTGGTTGATGTTTTTGTTTTCCTTCGTCCTGGTCTGAAAAAGTCTGCTACAATGTTCTCTTTCCCTTGTTTGTAGCGTATATCACATTTACGACCTTGCAGCTTAAGTCGCAGTCTTGTTAATGTGGGCGACGTTTTCTTTAACCGCCAAATTGAAATTAGCGGCCTGTGTTTGTGTAAACAATGAATTTTTGATCAAATATAAAATGTCTAAAATAGTCAACCGCCCAAAAGATCGCTAATAATTCTTTCTCGATTGTGTGATATCTACTTACTGCACCTATTAATACTCTGCTTGCAAAGGCGATCGTTCTATCGACAGTTTTCTCATTAGATAACACCGCTCCTATCGCGTAATTGCTAGCATCTGTGGTGATGACAAATGTATCCTCATTGTGCGGTGCACATGTAAACGGAACCGGGGCGAAAATTAACTAGGACGATCCAACTTGGCTAACCAACAAATTCCCAACCTACAGCGTCGGGGATAAAGGCAATAGGGTGTCCGGTAGGGAAGTCGAACCGGTGTTCACACTAGATTACCACGGGTGGGGTCCAGTTGTGAATCGGATCGATCGGACGGGACGCTATTGACCTTCCTGTTGGCTCCAGGTGCAACGGCTAGAATGTGGACTGTATGGCAGCGAATATCAACAGCAGCGATCGTGTGCTCCAGTGGCAATGGACATGAGGATGAAATTATGCTCGTTTGGTGATGGTTGAATATTAATTTATTTGATGTTTCTCGTTCGGCAGTTACAATAATAGTGATGCGCTTCGCGCGAAATGGTTTGCTTTTATGCTCTGCATTCGTACTGCTGTGTAAAGTTGACTTCTCGTTCTTGCGTGGTATTGACGATACTGGGAGGAGTCTGCTTCGCTTCACAACAGTGCAAATCGTTTATGTAGGGGAGTGTAGGGAGAATTAATAGATTAAACGTTCGGAACCGAACATTCTCCCGCCGGCATGTTATGTGGGTCTGTAGATGCTAGAGCTTGATTGTTCTCTTCAATGGGAAGTGGTGCGACTTTAGAAACTGGACGACGGTATACCCCAGCAGATGTTTGCACGTCTACTACTCTAACTACTGAATCCTTGCCAGGATAAACCTTCAAAATCCTGCCCAATTTCCATGACTGTGGAGGTAAGTTATCTTCTTTAAGAAGGACAATAAGACCAGGGACAACGTTACAAGAACCCTTCTTGGGTTCTTGGGTGTTATGGCAGATGGTTCATGGGCGTCTAACGAGTTAGCGAAAAGTGGACGTGAATTGAGTACTGCTTCTATCTGCGTGAGAACAGTGTAGAATTCTTCGAAATTGAGAGAGGCATTGGTCAGAATTTTACGCAAATGGGTTTTTGTACTCTTCACCCCAGCCTCCCACAATCCTCCAAAATTGGGTGACCGAGGTGGAATGAATTTCCAAACAATTTCGCGGGCACAACAGAACTCATTGATTTTTCTTTTCGCTTGATCATCACGGAACATCAAAAAAAGTTCGTGAAGATCGGATTTAGCACCAGCAAAATTTGTGCCATCGTCGGAATGGATTTCTTCCACTAATCCCCGACGGCTGACAAAACGCTGTAATGCAGCTATAAAAGCTACTGACGACAAGTCGGAAACTAATTCCAAATGAATTGCTTTGGTAGCAAGGCAAATGAAAATACAAATATAGGCTTTTGTTCGAACGGTTTTTCGTAGACCGACCTTTATGAATATCGGTCCAGCAAAATCTACGCCGGTGTGAGAGAATGGAGTGGAAGGAACAACACGTGCTTCGGGCAAACTACCCATCAAAGGCTGTAGAAAACGAGAGCGAGAACGGAAACATGTCACACATTTTCTCAATACCTTACGAATGGTAGACTTAGCGTTGATTAACCAAAATTTCTGACGTAGAAGCGACATTAATCCAGACGGTCCTAGGTGAAGATTTTCCAAATGCATATCACGAATGAGAAGTTCACTAACTATGCTCTTATTTGGAAGCAAAATTTGATGACGAGCTTCATACGGCAAACGGAAGCTATCCAACCTACCACCAACTCTTATTAAACCGTCCACAATAATAGGATCCAGCATCGCAAAACGACGACTAGGCTTTCCTGACGAAATAAGGCCTTTTTCGTCCGGCATCTCAAGACGTTGAACTAACCCAATCACAACAATCATCGACCTTCGCAATTCGGGAACAGTCAAATGAACGGAAGACACACGGTTTGTACGGTTTGATCTGCAATTGTTCGCAAAGCGTAATACATAACCAATCACTCTTTGCAATTTTCGAAATGAGCCGAAAGCTTCAAGAAACGGAACATCTTGCAGAACAATGGTAGCAGAGACTACTGGCATGCTCGGACAGAAATCGGGTAAATCAGATTCTGGGAGTAGATCCGGAGTTGCGAATTCACACTGACGCATTTTCAGAAATGATGGCCCACACCACCACAAATCATTTACTGCAAGATACTGTGGCAGCTGTCCTCGGGACACAATGTCGGCTGGGTTTTCGATAGAACGAACGTAATGCCAGGAATAATCGACGGTTGCAGTATTGATTTCCGTTACACGGTTGCGGACGAAGACTTCAAGCTGGCTGGAAGACTTTTTCAACCAGGCGAGTACAATACGACTGTCGGACCACAAATACACGCGATTTATGTCCATTTTCAACGACGAGATGCATTTGGGAACCAATTTTGACAACAATACGGCGGCACATAATTCCATTCTAGGGATCGTCAAAGGTTTCAAGGGAGCAATTCTTGATTTACTGCATAGCAACGAAATTTTTACATCGGTATCAGAAACAACTCTCAAATAAACAGCTGCTCCGTAAGCACGGTTGGAAGCGTCAGCGAACCCATGTATTTCGACGAGTTTAACGTCCGTCAATCCCACGTAGCGGGGAATCTTGACCATATCAATATACTTCAACGAATCTCTAAACGTAAGCCAAGATTGCAGAACTTCACCTTCCAATGAGTCATCCCAACCCAAACCATCTTTCCACAAACACTGCATGATTTCCTTTGCCAAAACAATCACCGGAGCAATAAGACCCAAAGGATCAAATATTCGAGCAATTTCAGAGAGGACAACTCGCTTGGTTGAGATAGGCGACGACTGTAACTTCAATTCGCAATGGAAACGGAAAATATCCTCATCTGGATCCCATAATAGACCCAAGGTTTTGATAACCTTGTTGACATCTGAATACTCAAACTCTAAGAACCTTTCTCGGTCTTCTTCAGGCACTGTATCGAGTATGGCTGGGTCACTTGCACACCATTTATGAACAGGGAAGCCTCCAGAGTTCAACAAGTTTGTCAACTCCAAACGAAGATCAATTGCCTGCTCGATGGTATCAGCTCCTGATACCACGTCATCCATATAAACATCCTCTTCTAAAACCTTGGAAGCTATTGGAAAATTGTGAGATTCATCACGGGCTAACTGCAACAATGTTCGTGTGGCCAAGAATGGGGCACTGGCTGTTCCATAAGTAACGGTTGTCAACTCTAGGATCTGAAGTGGGGCATCAGGGTTTTCCCTCCAATAAATCCTCTGAAGGGGAGAATGATCCTCAGCTATCTTGATTCGCCTAAACATTTTTGAAACATCAACCTTTAATGCAAAACGGTGTGTACGGAACCGCAGGTTTAGTGAAAAAATGTCGGGCTGAACTGTCGGACCAATCATCAAAACGTCATTAAGAGATGGACCAGTTGTTCGAGCCGAAGCATCGAAGACAACTCTTAAACGGGTGGTGGAACTACTTGGTTTCAAGACCGCATGGTGAGGTAAATAGTGAACCAACTTCCCAGGGACGTCATCTACCTCGGAAACTTCCTTACAATGGGACAACGATTTATACTCGTTGATGAAATCAACGTAAGCACCCTTCAAATCGGCATTCTTGCTGAATCGATGCTCCAAAATGAAGAAACGCTTTAGGGCCAACGATCGGTTATTACTTAGATCACTTACAGATTCCTTTAACGGAAGGTGGACAGTGTAGGTACCATCAGGGTTTCGAACAGAAGTGGAACTGAAAAGCTGCTCACAATCTTGCTCCTCCTTAGATACGGCATCCGCATCCTCAATGGACTCGACAGACCAAAATCTTTCCATACATTCTGATAGCGGACGTAGTGTGGCTGCATAGCAATGCTGATTCTGATCAATATCCTCAGTACCACCAGCAACAACCCATCCCAGACGGGTTTCCTTAAGAATTGGAAAATCATTACCCAACACTAACTGTCCGGGTAGCATCAAGTGGAAGAAGAGTTTAATTCCGATCAAGAGATCAACTTGTCCGGGTATGTGGAAGGAAGGATCGGCAAGTGCTAAGCCTGGGGGAATACTCCAAGAACGAACATCCAATTTTCTACTAGGAATAGGGCCAGTCACCACATTGGTGACCAAACATTCAATCTGGGCTTCATAATCCATACAACGAGAACGGAACGAAAGCTTTACTTTCTTGTCCAACACTGATCGTTTACCAGTTGCTCCGACGACTTCAACATGGGTGGGAACTTCGTCGATTTCCAAACACTCAATCAAGGAACGGGAAACTAAATGTGGTTGGGAACCACAATCGAGGAATGCACGGCAGGGATGCGGATTTCCACGGCTGTCAAGAACATCAACCATGGCCGTTAGCAAAAGCGTGCCATCCGACAAAGGAACCTTATGAATTGAGTTGGACAACGATGAAACACTTTCAATGAGAGGAATAACGTGGGAACTTGAGACAACTTGGTTTGGTTCAGGCTGGGGATTTAGACCTTCAACTATGGGTTTAGGGTTATCAATGGGCCTTGAACTATCAACGGGCTTTGGATTCTTGGGCTCATGAAGTAGAGTGTTGTGTCTACATTGACACTCCTGGCAAGATTTTCCTGAAGGGCATTTTGAAGCAAGGTGGCCCTTCCGCAAACAATTGAAACAAAGGTTAAGTTCTCTTACCTTAACTCTCCGCTGGGGTACCGTCAAAGAAACAAACCTGTCGCACTTAAAATTGGGATGATTTGCACTACAGACATCACATTTCACTTCACTATTAGCTACGGGTGTAGCCATAGCGAATGACTTTGCCGGTTGGGGTTTTGAGTACGGTTTCAGGTTTGACTCCTTCGATGACTTCGGTTGGCTAACTTCGCAACGTTCCAACAATGAACATCGCTCCTTCAAAAACTTGATGGTATCATCATACGTTGGAATCTCCTTATGGGGAATGGTAACTTCCCACTGCTTTCTCGTTTCCGGATCCAGTGCACCGGATAGGACGACAATAACGAACCTTTCGGAAACTCCTTCCAAGTTCTGCTCCAATAGCCTTAATCCTTCCACGTGGCGGGTTACCTCGTTCAAAAGCTCCCTCAGCTGCTTGGAACATTCCTTGCTCATCCGCTTGAGACTCAATAAGCCGTAGATATGAGAGTCAACTGCCTTTCTTTCATCATCGTAAACGTCAAGCAGTAACTCCCAGGCGTGGACGAAATCTCCATCACTAAGCGTCTTTGGGTCGATAAGTTTGACAGCGGAACCACCCGCGAGTGCTCTTTCAAGGTGGTGTAACTTAACAGCGTTGGAGTCTTTGGACCTTGACATGACATCCGAAAACACTTGCTGGAACCTTGGCCAATTTTCCGGTTTTCCATCGAAGGAAGGGATGGGAACCGGAAGTGGCTGTTGCTGAACGATTATTTGCGGTGGCTGACTACTCAAGGATTGGGACACGGGCACTACCACAGGAGGTGCGGTATTCGGGATCGAATCTTGAATTAGACTTTCCACCAACGCAGAGGTTTCAATGTGGAGGGATTCAAATTGCAAGTACGTAGCGTCGTTGTCATCTATCTTCTCCGGTGGCAACAGGCCGGTGATTTGATGATGTAGTCTAAGATATTCTTGAAAATGTGCCTCCAAATTCCGGGAATACACCTTCAGCTGTGCTAGGGTCAGCTGCACGACGCCGAGTTCAGCCAATTCTTCGATTCTTTTCCGAATTCTGGTCACTTTGGCTTTTGCTTGGCCCCGAAGGTGCACAAGCGTCTTTAATTCGGTCATTTTTGATCGTTTGCACTTTTTTCTTCAGCCTAACTAGGCTCACTAACACTACTACAATGTTCAGCCGAAACTTGTTCGGACGTGTTTCTTCAGCCTCACTAGGCTCACTAACACTACTACAATGTTCAGCCGAAACTTGTTCGGACGTGTTTCTTCAGCCTCACTAGGCTCACTAACACTACTAAAATGTTCAGCCGAAACTTGTTCGGACGTGTTTCTTCAGCCTCACTAGGCACACAAACTGTCCAACCGATACATGTTCGGACGTGGTTTAGCACAAAAAGTTTCACCAGAGCCACAAAACTCTTCCTCATCAATCCATCCACACACGGGCAAACACACCGATGCTGCTATCCGGGTAGATGGACCAAACTATGTGCGGTGCACATGTAAACGGAACCGGGGCGAAAATTAACTAGGACGATCCAACTTGGCTAACCAACAAATTCCCAACCTACAGCGTCGGGGATAAAGGCAATAGGGTGTCCGGTAGGGAAGTCGAACCGGTGTTCACACTAGATTACCACGGGTGGGGTCCAGTTGTGAATCGGATCGATCGGACGGGACGCTATTGACCTTCCTGTTGGCTCCAGGTGCAACGGCTAGAATGTGGACTGTATGGCAGCGAATATCAACAGCAGCGATCGTGTGCTCCAGTGGCAATGGACATGAGGATGAAATTATGCTCGTTTGGTGATGGTTGAATATTAATTTATTTGATGTTTCTCGTTCGGCAGTTACAATAATAGTGATGCGCTTCGCGCGAAATGGTTTGCTTTTATGCTCTGCATTCGTACTGCTGTGTAAAGTTGACTTCTCGTTCTTGCGTGGTATTTACGATACTGGGAGGAGTCTGCTTCGCTTCACAACAGTGCAAATCGTTTATGTAGGGGAGTGTAGGGAGAATTAATAGATTAAACGTTCGGAACCGAACACTCATAATTAGGCCTTACTAACAAAGGTTAAGATATGAGGCATGTTTTAAGCATTTCGAAAGCTTCAACACATTCACGTAACGGCAACGGCGCCGGTGGTGTAGTGGTAAACGTGATTACCTCTCACCCCAGCAGGCCTGGGTTCAATCCCAGTCGGCGCCGCCGGGATGTTCTGAGGCATAACACCTCTGATCACGCCTTCCTTCGGATGGGAAGTAAAGCCGTTGGTCCCCGGTTCATGAGTTGATGGGTCGATAGGTAGGGTCCAGATGTGAGAGCTGCCTTCCTGGCACGTCGGTAGCATTGGTGCTCAGCACGGAAAACAAGATCGACGGAAAAAACAAACCAAAGGAAAAAAAAAACACATTCACGTGTCCATACAAATTTTACATTCTTCTTCAATAAATCGTTCAAAGGTTTCCTGTACTTTGCAATGTTTGGAATGAATTTTCCATAAAAATTAATTGTATCTAAAAATGACCGAACATCTTTCACTGTAGATGGACTTTTCATCAATTGTTTACTTTCTACATTTTCTTTGGTTGGTTTAATACCATATTGATTTATTATATGACCAAGATATTTGATTTCTGTTTTCAAAATTTTACCGGTTCCCTTTTTTAAATTATGTCTGCGTAGTCCTTGCAACACTTTATATAAGTTTTCATTATGTTCTTCGATTGTTCTTCCTGAAATGATGAAATCATCCAGATAAACAACGGCTCGAACATCTCCGATTTCGTATAGTACCGTATTCATTAATTTTTTAAAAGTTGATGGGCTATTCCTTAATCCCATAGGCATTCTTGTAAATTCAAAGTGTCCTTTTGGGGTTGAGAAAGCTGTTTTAGCGGCATCTTTTGGATCGATTGGGATTTAATACAATCCTGATTTTAAATCCAATGTTGAAAAATATACACTATCTCCAAGATTATCCATGATTTCATTGATGAGTGGAATTGGATATACAAAAGGCTTGGTTATCAAATTTAAAGCCCTAAAGTCCACTACAATTCGATATTTCTTATTTCCAGCTGCATCCAAGTCCTTTTTTGGTATACACAAGACTGGTGCATTCCACGGGCTTTTACTTGGTCTGATGATACCTTGCCTATACATTTCTTCGATTTTTTTCATTAATTTGTTTTTTTGTTGCTTCTGGGAACCTGTATTGCCGTTTATTAATGGGTACGTTCGTTGAAGCTTCTATTTCGTGCCCTGCCGCATCTGTGTGGGTCAGTTTATCACCCTCAAGAAAAAACACATCACTAAAATTACTTAAAATTGATTCAATTGATTCTGAGTCGATTCGTGATAAATGATTAAGTTTGATCTGTTCGAAGATCTTATTATGTCGTTCGTGTCCTTGAAGCATTTTAATATTTTTGTATTTGACAATATCGTAGTCTATGTCAGGATTTAAGTCCAACATTTCTCTGTCGTCATATTCACTTCCTTCTTCATTATATTCTTCATGATAAAAATCATTTTTCAACGGGTCATCTATTTCCATTCCATGGACTTGTGTAAAATCTTTACACTCGTCTTCTTTATAGTTTTTCTTGCAAGTGTCAAGCTCAAAAATAGCATATTCAAAATTTCTTCCAATTTGTGCTACATGTTTTTGAAGGAACTCTCCTCCGAGTATACAATGTATACGACAGAGCCAATAAAAGTTCAATTAGATTGACAGAACCTAGTTGCATTGCTTTTCAATGACGACCGATGACTGTTTCATTGATATATGATTTTTTCATAATATTTAATATGAATCCTAAGTAGACGTGTTTTGTTTTTATCAAAGGCAAGTGTCACTCGAGCCATTCAAAATGTTCGTTATTTTAAAAATTGCTGTTATGGCTCGAGTGACACTTGCCTTTGATAAAAAAAAACACGTCTACTGAGGATTCATATTTATGAAAAAATCATATATCAATGAAACAGTCATCGGTCGTCATTGAAAAGCAATGCAACTAGGTTCTGTCAATCTAATTGAACTTTTATTGGCTCTGTCGACTTGTGTATTTTAGCTATAACGGCCTCTTTTCTGATTTTTATCTCTCAATCTATGGAATCTACACAAAAACTATGTTTGAACGAATTTTCTAGAACAATATGAGGAACATTATGCCGTAGACTACACATTTTTATATCATATGGGTGGAAAATTCGTAGAACAAATACTTTAAAATTCTTCACTTTTTAAGATATCTTCGAGCATGAAACTAAGTCAAACTTCAATAAAATCACTTCGAATAGTCAACCTTTGGTTACAAAGTTGATACATGACACATTAAACTTTGCTATGAAAGTTGTTACAGCAGTTTTCGTTGTTTCAGTCTCGAGATACAAATATTATAAGCCGTAAATTACCTGATAAACATAAAATTAACTTGAAGCACCTCTAAATCATCACCGATTTTGCTGAAAATTTGCACAGAAGTTCAAATTAACATGACGAACAGTAATCACGGTTGACCCGTTACATTCCGAACATTTCGTTTAAAATGAACAGGTCTAGTATACATGGTATTAATAAATGTGTCATTAAATGAAATTTTGCTGGGAATACTATGTTTCCTATGATTAAACCTATATTAACTGATCCCATTGTTTTTGTATTTCCACCAATTCCCGCTATTTCTATAGCATCATTTGTATTTACTTGGTCTATTCTTAGCGATTTGACTGTTTCATATCTAAGAAGATTTACTGATGAACCTGTATCGAGTAAACATCTCAGCCTATATGCGGGGTTATCAGATGTAGATATCTCGACAAAAAATAGGTTATCTCTAGAATAGATTTTTTTAAGTGCTATTTTATTTGATATTATATCATAAAGGGTTGATTTGCTGTTATTATAGTGCTTATTTTTATTTTGTTTCCCCATTATTGCATGAAAATTAAATTCTATTTCATGACTATTTTTACTTGAAAGCTCCTTTTTTTAACTCTTTATTTGTTCCAAATTCAAAATAAATTACATTTCATTTTTAACCTAGGTGCTCCAGTTACTGCAGCAACTTACCAGCCTTAATTGTTATGATATATAGTGTTTTTACATTGTTCCTGTCTTGGCAATTCAGTATTTTAAACAGGGTTTTTAAACCTGCATGTCAGTATTACAATTGATGTCTTAAAACTAAAAACTAAAACTAAATCTTATCTAAGTAGGGGAATTTACGTATTCTCGGCAACCTAAGCAGCGACCTTCTTTCTATAGCCTTTTTCTCTAAGGAACGCACACATATGCAGTATTGGTTTGTTTACAATCTATTGCTGCCAGCTGCTCTAACAATTTCAGTCGAAAGAATTGTCAAAAACTGTTTTGAAACGCTTTTACAAAGCTCCAATCTTCTCTAGTGAGAGCGAGTATTGTCGGCAACCAGTTTTTCTTCGGCAACCGTTCCATTTGAACTGCATGTAGATCTGCTGTTCTATTATCGGCAACTCGAAATCAGCTACAATTTGAAGTGCGTGTGTTTCATTTCAAGAAAACCTTGCTAGATTGCTTTTTCTCAGTGGTAAAAATATAGTCAAATTGAAGCTGAAAGCATAAAGAATCGTTTGCATGCATTCAGCGAAGTGTTTTCGTAAGAAAATCCAGTGAAAATAGTGTTTCAATTTGGGTTGCCGAAAATAGTCTGTCATGCCGAAGCCGTCATTTCCCCTATAAAGAGAATTAATCGTTGCAATTGAGGATTGCAACGATTTTTGCCTGAAATTATTAATTATTTTGTTGGACATTTGTTCTAAAGTCTCAACATTCTATGTACTTCGGTAGTACTGTACCAGGGAGGCAACTTCAAAATCATTTTCAGAACTTTGTTCTGAATCCTTTGAAGTGCTTTTTTCCTGGTAGTGCAACAACAAGACCATATTGGCACAGCGTAAATCATGGCCGGTCTAAAAACTTGTTTAAATATTAGAACTTTATTCGTCAGGCAAAATTTGGATTTCCTGTTTATAAGAGGATACAAACATTTTATATATTTGTTACATTTGGCTTGAATGCCCTCAATGTGATCTTTAAAAGTTAATTTTTGGTCAAGTATTAATCCAAGATATTTCACTTGGTTAGACCAGGAAATAGGAACTCCGTTCATAGTGACTATGTGACTACTACTAGGTTTGAAAAACGAAGCTCTAGGCTTATGTGGAAATATTATAAGTTGAGTTTTGGAAGCGTTGGGAGAATTCTTCCATGTTTGTAAATAAGAAGAGAAAATATCTAAACTTTTCTGCAGTCTGCTGCAAATAACACGAAGACTTCTTCCTTTAGCGGAAATGCCTGTGTCATCAACGAACAAAGATTTGTGGCAACCCTGAGGCAAATCAGGGAGGTTCGAAGTGAAAATGTTATACATTATAGGCCCAAGAATGCTACCCTGAGGAACTCCTGCTCTAACAGGTAGTCGATTGGATTTGGAATTTTGATAATTTACCTGCAGAGTTCTGTCAGTTAAATAATTTTGAACTAATTTCATAATATAAACTGGAAAATTAAACTTTTTCAATTTAGCAATCAAACCTTCATGCCAAACACTGTCGAATGCTTTTTCTATGTCTAGACATAGAGCAACTCCAGTTGAGTGGCCTTCAGATTTGTTTGAACGAATTAAATTGGTAACTCTTAAGAGTTGATGAGTAGTTGAATGCCCATGGCGAAATCCAAACTGCTCATCTGCAAAAATTGAGTTCGTATTGATGTGAAGCATCATTCTATTCAAAATTATCTTTTCAAAAAGTTTACTTATTGAAGAAAGCAACCTTATTGGGCGGTAGCTAGAAGCTTCAGCTGGATTTTTATCCGGCTTCAAAATTGGAACAACTTTTGCATTTTTCCATTTATCAGGAAAGTATGCCAAATGGAAACATCTGTTAAATAATATTATTAAGAAAGACAAGGTACTCTCTGGGAGTTTTTTGATGAGGATATAGAAAATTCCATCATCACCTGGAGCTTTCATATTTTGAAACTTTTTAGTTATAGACCTTACTTCGTCCAAATCAGTCCCCCAGGAATCATCAAAAATATTTTCCCGAGAGAAAATATTCAGATAATCCCGAGCAACCTGATTCTCAATAGGACTAGTAAGACCCAAACTGAAATTATGGGAACTCTCGAATTGCTTAGCAAGTTTCTGAGCTTTTTCCAAATTTGTGATCAAAATTTTACCACCTTCTTTAAGCGCTGGAATAGGCTTTTGAGGTTTTTTTCAAAATTTTTGTAAGTTTCCAAAAGGGTTTGGAACTCGGGTCTAATTTAGAAATATTATTTTCAAAAGTTTTGTTCCTCAGGACAGAGAATCGCTTTTTAATTTGTTTTTGCAAATCCCGCCAGATAACTTTCATGGCAGGATCGCGTGTTCTTTAAAATTGTCTCCTACGGACATTTTTAAGACGGATCAAGAGCTGAAGATCATCGTCTATTATAATTGAATCGAATTTAACCTCGCATTTTGGTACTGAGGCAGCTCTTGCTTCAACTATAGAAGTAGTCAAAAGTTACTGGAAGGTGATCAGAACCGAAGTCAGCATGGGTAACCAATTGGCTACAAAGTTGACATGAATCAGTTGTTGAGGGATTTCTTGCAGAAGAAAAGCATGTTGGGCTGTTTGGATATTGAATAGTGCAATAACCTGCAGAACAATCATCAAACAGAATATTACCATTGGAATTGCTTTGAGCATTATTCCATGAGCGGTGTTTTGCATTAAAATCACCAATAATGAAGAATTGAGACCTATGACGGGTAAGTTTCTGGATGTCACCCTTGAGAAAATTCTTTTTCTGGCCTACGCTTAGGAATGGCAAATAGGCAGCTATAAACGTAAATTGTCCAAATTTTGTTTCAACAGAAACTCCCAAAGTTTCAAAAACTTTGGTTTCAAATGAAGGAAGAATTTTATGTTTGATTCGTCTATGAATAATGATGGCAACGCCACCACAGGGTCCATCAAGACGATCATTTATATTGTTGTACACTCCGTGTTCGTGGGTTGGAGAAACACAGTGGCTCGGAAAATAGCACCAGTACTAGAAACTTCTATTTCAAAGTCTTTATTGCCTGACGATCTGTTGGCTACTAACTGGCCTGTTGTTTATTATCTGTTGTTTTGTATTGCATGGTTCGTTTCGTTTCCTATACTTGCATGTGGTCTATGTACTTCTTTTCTATATGTGTTATCTGTAGTTATCAATGTTATCAATGTTATAGTGTAGGTGTTGGGATGTTCAAATTATCAGAGGTGTTTTTGTGTATAACAGTTATGCTTAATTAACTTATTCTAGCTTTAATTTTTAATCGTGGAACGCATGTATGTGTTGTTCTATTCCAGTGTCGTATAAATTCAAACTAACATGCTTCATTACCGGCCCCCTTGAACTAGCTTCAAAATTCATTTTTCAATTCAATCGTTCATCAAATGCTTATTTCTAAGAGCTCGAGATTGCTGGCAGCCCTGAAGACCTCGTAGTTCGTCGATCTACATCATCATTGGGTAATGGACAGATGCGATTGACTGCCCGCTTATACACACCAGTCGCCGTCTTCACCGTCACTACTCGCACGATTCCGTCTGAGCCTGGGTGTGAGCTGATGATCCTCGCCAGTGGCCAACAAAGTGGTGGCAGGTTATCCTCTCGTAGCACGACGATTCCTCCGATTTGGATGGGGTTGATCGGCAGGTTCTTCGTTATCACCTGTAGCTGCGTGAGGTACTGCTTGCTCCATCGCTGCCAGTAGCGCTGAAACATTTGCTGGATTTGCTGGTAGTGGTCAAGGCGGTTTGTGGGAATTGACATTACGTTGGGGTCAGGAAGGGCTGTCATGGCTGAGCCTATCAAAAAATGCGCCGGGGTTAGCGCTTCAAATTCAGTGGGGTCGTCAGATAGAGGAGATAAAGGTCGTGAATTCAGTGCGGCGGTGATTTGAACTAGAAGCGTGGCGAAGTTGTCGTAGCTTAACTGTTGGAGGCCGATCTCCTTCTTCAGCGCAGTTTTCACGGAGCGTACCGCGGCCTCCCATAGTCCTCCAAAGTTAGGAGCGCGTGGTGGAATGAACTTCCATTCAATTCCTTGCTGAGAAAGTTCCTTACTGATGACGGTAGAGCTAATCTGGTTATTCAGCAGTTCGTACAGCGCTTTTAGTTCGTTACAGGCCCCTGAGAAGTTTTTGGCATTGTCCGAATGTATTTCAACAGGTCTTCCACGGTAGCCGATGAACCTTCGCAATACTGAGAGAAAACTAGCGGTAGATAAGTCGCTAGCCAGCTCGAGGTGCATTGCTTTTGTCGAAAAGCAAACAAAGACTGCAATATACACTTTCGGGGGAGCTGCATTTCGGCGGGTCGGCTTAAGATAGAACGGCCCACAATAATCAACGCCAGTTATCTGAAACGGTCGTCCCGGGCGTACGCGACCGGCAGGTAGCTGTCCCATGGGCTGCTGGATAGGCGTTGGATTGGTGCGGAAACAGCGAACGCATTGCCGAAGCACGGTGTTGACAATACGCTTACCATGTATGGGCCAAAACTCTTGGCGTACTTCGGACAATGTAAATTGTGGACCGCTATGGAAATTCTGGTAGTGGAAGAAGTTTATAACGAGATTCGTTAATGGGTGATGACTTGGCAAAACAGCAGGATGCTTGACCGTATAACCTTCATTTGAGAAACGTAGCCGTCCCCCAACTCTGATGACTCCGCTATTGTCGAGAAAGGGGAATAGTCTCTTGAGGCTAGACTTGCAGTCGACTCGTTTCTGTTGTTGTAGAGCTTTGAGTTCGTCTGGGAATTGTTCAGCCTGTGCGATACGGGTCAGCGTCATCTTCGCTGATTGTATTTCATCAGGTGCGAGAGTGGTCGAGCTTTTTCTATCAGTTGAGTTGCGACAGTTGTAGGCAAAACGACGACAGTAAGCGACGATTCGAAGTAGAGGAGGTAATGAAGAACGCAAGCTGAACAGCTCGTTGGGTGGTTCCGTGACTGTGACCTTGTGAACAGCCTTGCGAGTTTCCAACAGTTTTTCGGGGATGCTGTAGTCCTCTAAAGAATTGGGCCACGCATCTTCGTTGCTACTCAACCATGGGGGTCCTTGTTTCCATAGCTGGCTATGTAGAAAATCATCAATAGCCATTCCGCGAGAAACCAAGTCAGCAGGGTTCTCCTTTCCCGCTATATACCGCCAAGAATGTGTGTAAGTGGAGGTTTGAATCGTCGACACTCTGTTAGCCACGAACGTATGTAATGTGTTAGGAGGAGTTCGTAGCCAATGTAACACAATCGTACTGTCCGACCAGAAAACCGAACGTACATTTCCCAAGGAGAGAGCCTTAACCACCTTCGAGTGTAGTAGTGCAGCTTCCTTGGCGGCACAAAGTTCAAGTCTTGGTAAGGTCAATCTTTTGAGTGGAGCAACGCGTGATTTTGAAGAAAGCAGCTCGATTCGAACGTTTCCTGCTTCATCCGTCGTCCGTACGTATAAACACGCACCGTAGGCAAGAGTAGAAGCGTCAGCGAAGCAGTGAAACTGAATATCCACCCAATTGGAAACGAAAGCAAATCGACTGATTCGTAGTTCCGATATTTTGCCCAACTGTGAGTGGAATGCTTTCCATTTCCTTTCGATGTCGACCGGAACAGGCGTATCCCATCCTGAGTTGAGCAGAGCGAGCTCTTGCATCAGCATTTTTGCCACAACAATCACCGGTGATATCAGTCCCAGCGGATCAAATAGTTTGGCTATAGACGACAGGATGCGTCTTCTCGTCCACGCTTGCTTGCTTGCTGTGATGTCATAGTAGAATCGTAATTGGTCCGTTCCAGGCTCCCAGGTGATTCCCAAGGTTTTCACCTGTTCCTCTGGACTTATTTCGAATGAAATAGATAAATTTGTCCCAAGTTGGTCGGCCGCGATGCCAGTCAGAACTTCCGGCCGATTGGAACACCATTTGCGTAAAGGAAATCCACCCTTCTTCATTAGCGTATCAAGGTCCTTTTGAAGCTGGATGGCCTCGTCTACGCTGGATGCTCCACCGATGTAATCGTCCACATAAAAATCCTTCACTACAGCATTGGCAGCTTCCGGGTATTCCTCTCCTTCATCTGCCGCAAGTTGATGTAGAGCACGAATCGCTAAGAATGACGAAGGTGTCAATCCATAAGTTATCGTTGATAACTCAAAAACTTTAATAGGTTCATCTGGAGAAAATCGGTAGAATATGCGTTGCAACAAGGTATCTTCAACGTGTAGCCATACTTGTCGGTACATCTTCTCTACGTCGCCAACAAGTGCTACTTCATACTTCCGGAAACGTAGAAGAAGGCTGAGGAGTTCGTCTTGAATTAGAGGGCCTTTCAGTAGCGCATCATTCAAGGAATAACCACTGTCCGTGCTGGCCGAACCATCGAAGACGACGCGTACTTTTGTAGTGGTGCTTGATTCCTTAAGCACTGCATGGTGTGGCAAGTAGTACACCCTCTTCGCACTCGTTGCCGCTGCCTCCTTCTGAATTTCATCTCCACTGACTTCTCTCATATGCCCAAGATCCAAGTATTCTTGCATGAATGCATTGTACTGCAACCGCATCTCCGGATTCCTCTCCAGTTGCTTTTCCAATCTCTTGAATCGCGTTAGCGCCATTGCGCGAGAGTCGCCCAACATCTGCTCGAAATTCACGTGTTTAGGTAGACGTACGACGTACCGACCTTCCTCCGTACGGCTGAATGTTCTCAAGAAATGATCTTCGCTGTCCTGTTCCTCCTTTGACCAAGCCGCTCGTTCTTCATTACTCTCGATCTCCCAAAACTTCTGCAACTGTACTTCCAAGTTATCCGGAGTTGCCGCTAAGCAACAGCTTACTGCCTTACTCGGAGCTTCCGAAACCTTCCCCGTGACGATCCAACCGAATACTGAGTTGACCAGCATTGGCAGCCCTGGTCCCAACTTGATCTGTTTCATATCTCTCTCGAACAGGAAACGATAGAAGTGCTCTGCTCCTATCAAGAGATCGATCCGATTGCTTATATTGAAGTTCGGATCAGCCAGCTGAATATCATTAGGAATCTTCCAGTACGCCACAGGTATGTGTGCCGATGGCAATTCCGACGTAACCTTCTGCAGAACTAGAAATTCCATCCCCACGGAGAAGTCTTGAACTCTGGAGCTAACTGTGGTTTTCACCTGGAATCTCGCTCGCGTTTCCGAATGACCGATCCCGCTAATCGGTAAGTTTATTTTGCGCCGGTTTAGGCTGAGCATCTGACATAACCGCTCGCTCATGATGTTCGCTTGCGATCCGTTGTCGAGCAATGCTCGCGCCAACTGTTTTCCTCCGTGCTGGTCCCGTATGACAAGTACAACAGTAGACAGCATTACGCTCGAGACTCTACCGCCCTTAGTCCCTACGCTGTATGTTCCAACCGCTTCTTGATCGTCGCTGTCTCCTTCTTCTTCAGATTCATCCTCGTTGGTCGCTAGGTTCGTCGCTACCGCCTTATCGTTCCGCTTGCGCTCCGATTTGCATCCCGATTGATCGCTGTTTCCGGCACCGCTACTGCTCAGAGGAAATCCTGGATGGATCAGTGAATTATGCTTTTTCCCGCAGTCTCGACAGCTGAATTTTGAATTGCAGTCACGTACCCAATGCCCTGACTTTAGGCAATTGCTACACAACCTTTTGCCGTTAACGAACTGCAATTTCTCCTTCAAGGTCATCTTCGTAAACTTGCCACACCGGCCCAAGAAATGTGAATCACCGCAACAGCAGCATGCTGAACTACTCCTATCACTATCGGTTGCGGAATGAACGACCACCTTTTGACGCCTAACTTCCACCTTATGCGAACTGCCCTTCACCTCGACGTTTGATGATACCGCCTCCAACACCCTTGTCCGCTTCTCCAGAAAGTTCACCAGAATCGTATAAGTCGGATCGTTTGTTGATGCTGCATGGTCCTCCCATAGCTGAAGCGTCTTCGTATCCAGTTTCGAACACATCCAGTGCACGATCATTGCACCCCAATGTTCAGTCTTCTCTCCTAACTGTTTCAGGATCTTCAAACGCTGATCAAATTCATCAACCAGAGCATGAATAGCAGATGACGACTCCTTTTCTACCCTTGGGTACTCCATAAGCGCCTGCAGATGCCTCTTCTTAAGAAGATACTCATTGGAGTACCGCTTCGTGATCGTATCCCAAGCGATGGGATAGTTTTCGTTGGTGAGTGTAAGCGACTCGATGAGCTTAGCCGCTTCCCCCTTGAGCGCCGACTTGAGGTAGTGAAACTTCTGGACGTCGCTAAGTTCTCCGGACTCGTGGATCAGCGAAACGTATGTAGATTTAAACGACAGCCATCCTTTGAAGTCGCCATCGAACTCCGGTAGCGAGATTTGTGGTAGACGCACCCCAGTGTGCGTCCCTACAGCTTGGCCATTCCTTGCAGTTGAGTTGTTTAAATCAGGAGCTGGATCTTCTCGTGGCAGTTTCGCTAGCAACGCTGCTCGTAGACGATAGTACAGCTTCTCAAAATCATCATAGGCTTTGTTGCAGTCCTCTTCATACGCTCCTTCCGC